TGGGCCCAACTTGAAAAGCTTTTCTTGCGCGCGCCCCGCTTGCTTGCTTGCTCGCTTGCTTGCTTGCCTGCTTGCTGGGCGCTAGTTTTTTTCTTCGGGGCGCTTGCAGTTTCCTTTTGTTAGGCCGCGCGCTTTCTTTCTTCGGGGCGCTTTGGGGTTTCCTGCTGGGGGGAGGGGTTTTGCTTTGGGAGCTGCCATACCTGTGCCTGCTACTCCTGGGGGCGTTGCCCGCCCCTGGGCGTAGCCCCTTAGAATAAAATCCAAACTCGTCATTAATAGCAACGCTTTTATAAAGTCTTCGGCTCGAAGATGGTTGATAATTAGCTTGTTTGCTCTTGGGTCCTCATGAGCTCTGCCCACACGGGGCCCTGTACATCACGCCGCGGGCCACCCAGACCTTTCCAATCATTGGAATTCCCACTACCAACCATAGCAAGCAAACGGAAAGCATCGAAGGAAAAGTCGTATGAACCAACTCTGCTTCTTTCTTCTCAGACACTCGCCAGGTGTCGCTGGACCACCGCAATGCAGGACCTTCTCTTCCGCTACATAAAAGTGCAGATAAGATGATAGAACAACACACGTTGAGTTCATATCTGTATACTCAACACACAGGCTTAAGGAAGGGACGAAACAGCTCCGAGGAGGGCAAAAAACACTCTAAAAAGAGAGCTGAGGCCAGCGCTGTGTTCCAGTCACAGAGAGACACTGTCGGGCCCGGTCCAGCCTCACGATGGTCTGCGTCGCATCCTGAAGTTCTCGTAGGCGCCTCCGACCTCGCCGGCAGAAGCTGCCCAGGAGCTCTTCATCCAAAGGAATCTCCGCCGTGGTCACATCGCCATAAGGCACCATCCCTTGAAACCTTGACATTCCCCCGATCCCGAAAAAGCACGGGGCTGCAAACTGCTGCAATCCTCCACAAGTCGCAGCTGCGGTTCGGGCCGAGAAATGCAGCGTGCAAAGCAAGAGGCCTGATAAAGGCACGCTCAGGTCCCTATGTACTACATAAACACATAGGAAACCCCCATGCTCCATAGACATGATCCGGCCCCCCAGCAGAGCCACCATTGGATTTAAACCCTAAACCTCAAGGTCCTGCAACCCCAAGCTCTGCAACCTCGAGCCCTAAACTGGTGCTTAAACCCATAAATACTTAAACTTGGACCCTGAAACCTGAAGCCTAAATCAGCTGTCCCTAAACCCTAAACCGATCTGCTGTCAGAAGCTCTCCAGGTTCTCTTGTTTCTGCTTCCTGCCACCAGCTGTCCCTAATCCCTAGGCCCTAAACCCTAAACCATTCTGCTGTCAGAAGCTGTCCGGTTTCTCTTGTTGCTGCTTTGTTTCACCAGCTGTCCCTAAACACTAGGCCAATCTGCTGTCAGAAGCTGTCCGGTTTCTCTGGTTGCTGTGGTCTCTCACCAGCTGTCCCTAAACACTAGACCAATCTGCTGTCAGCAGCTGTCCGGTTTGGGTTGTTGCTGCGATCTCTCACCAGCTGTCCCTAAACACTAGACCATTCTGCTGTCAGAAGCTGTCCGATTTGTCTTGTTGCTGCTTTCTGTCACGAGTTGTCCCTAAACCTCAAACCATTCTGCTGTCAGAAGCTGTCCGTTTTCTCTTGTTGCTGCCTTTCTACCAACCGTTCTGTTGTCAGAAGCTGTCCGGTTTCTCTTGCTGCAGCTTTCTGTCACCAGCTGTCCCTACAACCTTTTGCATTGTCAGAAGCTGTCCGGTTTCTATTGTTGCTGCTTCCTGTCACCAGCTGTCCCTAAACCCTAAAACATGCTGCTGTAAGAGGCTGTCCGGCTTCTCTTGTCACCAGCTGTCCAAACCCGCTGTCAGAAGCTGTCCGGTTTCTCTTGGTACTGCTTTCTGCACCCGGGTGTCCATTCTGCTGTCAGAAGCTGTCCGGTTTCTCTTGTTGCTGCTGTCTATCACCAACGCCTAAACCCTTAAACCCTAAACCCCAAAACTGGGGCCAGGAGCGCCCTGATCATTCACATGTATATATATATATATATGTATGTATATACATTTACATGCAGACATACGTACACACATATATATATATATATATATATATATATATATATTCTGGAAAATAGTTCATAATTGCTGCTTTAGAGAAAAACGACGACTTGTAAGTGCGAGTACAGGAAAGAAACGAAGATAATACAGCGAACACGAAGATGGGAAAACTACCGACAGATGGATACACAAGCCCATCTCAGGCACCGCAAGCTTTGGCGATGGCAAAGGAAGCGCCGGCGAGAAAGACAAGGACCAGCACATAAGCGCCGTGCCTCGAATCAAACACCATGTTGTTGAGCACAAAAACATACAGATTTTTAGGGGGCTTTTGTGCTCGTGCACAAGCTTGTTGAGGATCACAATGCGCCACCGCGTTCAAAAATGAGTTGAGTGAGATGGGCTCGAGCAGCCGTTAATAGCCATTGCAACACTAGCACGAAGATTGCAAGCCCCCCCCCCCCCCCCGCTAAAAACTAACAAGACTGGAGGACGCTGTTGCACCCCCCCCCGCCCCCCCCCCCAAGACGCATTGAATCAATCAAGGGGGAGGCTATTTTTGGGAAGTGGGCATCACAAGGATCACAGACATGTGTCAGGCCAACGGCAGGTGATTGTGTAACAAGTCTGCTACGTAACCTTGCCAGTTGCATCCGGAGCTCACGTAGAGCACGAACATGCTGGAGAGCATCAGGCACGGCCAAGCCCTCCGAAAGGCGCTCTTTGAGTCTGAGAGTCGCTCTCTGAAATGACTTGGACATGCGATCCCTGCGCTTGAAGCGACTGCCTCCTTCGCCCCAGAGCAGCCCGAACGACCACATGCAGCCCCGCAGCCAGGGTCAACAATGGCAAAGCCTGCCGACAAGGCCGAAACGGGGGGCATTGGGCAAAGCTGAGTAGCTCGAAGGCCTTCCGGAACTCACGCCTTGCAATTGACGGGCACGTGGCATGCGAATTCGACACTGGCGCGCTATCATTGCCGCATAGGAATTGTAGGCACCCTGCCATTGAATGTCGGACAAATCAATCTCACGCCTCAACGGCTTCTCAAGTTCGAAGCGTGTGAACAAAGAACCTCCCAGGTCCCAACAGCTACGTGCAGTGATCATCGGTGACAGGCTAAATTATCAAGGCGCCAAAACGGAGTCCTGTGAAGGTAGAAGCTGCACCTGACGGGTGGAAAAGGAAGCGAAGAGAAAAAGTGAGATCATGCGTCAACATGCGTCAACAATGTAGCGACATGGTGGTTTCTATACATCTACTACGTGATGCATTGTGCAAGTTGTACATTTGCCTCGCATTTCCCGTGCAAAGCTTGCCCAACTCGACAGCCGCAAAGGGCAGCTTGACCAAGAAGGCCCAGGCAATGACCAGGGACCACCTTCAGAGACACGTGGAGGCGTTGTGCAACGTCTGTGCACCGAAGTAAGACAACGAGTTCTAGCGCCGACGCAAGGAATTCCGCCGTCAGCCACCGCGCCATAAAGGATCCAGGACCAGATGGAGCAGTGGCAGCTTGCTGTAAATCCTCGTATGCTGTTCACTCTGAGCCCTGTTTCTGAATCAGAATGGCACGCTTGCATGAGTTCGGTAGTGGGGCCGACTTCTCCATCTTGGGGGGCAGATTCGAGGTTGCACCCGTCACGCTCTCAATTCTCCCCGCTGCCGATGGCTTCGAGCTGCTCAAACACGGACAAACTTTGTGCTAGGAAGTGCGAAGGAGCAGGCAGTGCGCACCAGTGAGATGTTCGAGCCAAACTCGCTGCCAACGAAACAAAAGTTGTGCACATGTTGCATCATGTTGCCATAGTTTGCCATTGACCTAGCACAAGCAACTTCCCGACATGACTCGAAATAGCTCAATCTTTCTGGCGCCGGCCATGATCGTCCCAAAGGATGCTCCGGCCTGCGAATTGCTGAGGACTTGCCTCGTTGCAGCCGGGGAGACGGAGGCCAACCTCCTACCTCTGCTTTTCCAACAATGGGTCTGACAAGTCCCTTTCAAACGGGAAAGGCGCACTGTAACTTCGGAAAGGGTGTCGCAACACCTGGCCAGGGACTTGCAAAGCTAAAGCTGCGAGTCCTGCCAGAAGGCCACGTATACCCGACACGCATCGAAGCTGCCGCGAGCTGCTCAGTAGCCTGCAAGAAGGCCCTTCGCCGTGAACATCCTTGAACTTCTCGGAAACTCGTCTGCTGCCGAAACTCCCACAGCGGCAGTGCTGATGCAGGTTCTTCCGAGCAATGTCAGGTCAGCCGGCAGATGAACTACGCCGCCAAGTGGTGCTGGTAAGCCTTAAACGAGTTGAGGCGCGGGTTGGTAGTTCAAGATGCAAAGACTAACTAAGAAAGAACTGAGTGAGCAACAGCTTTACCCTGAAGTTGTGCAAGAAATTCATGAGCCATGGAAAGGCAAGAACAATCAAGACCCGCGGGGGATTTCAAAAGACAAAGACCCGATTGGGTAAACCCCAAAACCGAATAGAAGGACAATTAGTCAGGGGCGGATATCAGCATCAGAAGCGATTGTGGAGCTATCCACTGGACACGTTTGCCGGCCCTACGGCCGGCCCCCAAATCCAATTTGCACCCGCTTTGCGTCAGCCAGTTCCTAAACGATTCCTGGGCCTGCAACTGAAGTGGACGAGACGACTTCACGCTGATTCAGGGCAGGAAACGCAAGGATTGGTAGATCAAATCTTGCCCGCTGCTGAATGGCAGCCACTCAGCGCAACAGGCGCATTGATGGGCTCGAGGAGACAGGGCCCCAGGTCCTGCACGTGATGTGACACGAAGAGCTGCACAGTACGCCTACGAGGGTCTACTGCTCTTCTTGGCCATTGATGGGACTTTGCGCTTTGGCTTAAGCGCCCTTGAAGCAGGAGACGCTTTCGGGCTTCTGTATAGGGTCCATTAGATGTCGAGAAAGCGTTGATGAACAAAGGTTCAAACTCGGGCAACCAAGGCAAGAGCTACGGCGGCGACGGTGTGGCCTGGGACTCTTCACACCACGAGCTCGGCTTCGGCAACTTCAGGCGCGGCGCAGCACCAAGCGAAGGCTCCGGCGATCGCCTGCGCGGGTGCGCAGGATGCGCACGCCATCCTAAGCCTTGTGAGCATGAGCATGAGGGTTTGAAGGGGGTTTGAGGGTTGGGGCGCGGGGCTGCAGTCTCCGATACGTTGCAAGACTATCGGCGAATCGGCAGAGAAATGCTTGCATCATCGCTTCGTCTCGATTCGTTGACTCCCCCACCTCCCAAACATCCTGCACCTGCTGGCGCTGCTCGGCCGCCTGGAGGGGTCTGGGCTCACTGCACGCTTTGCTCGCGAGTTTTTGTTGGCCGCCATTGCCTTGCGGTGCACATGCTCAACCATTTCCGACACATCGTCCAAGTAGAACATCTCAGCCTGCAAATCCGAGTCGGTCAGTGTTTCGAATTGTCCAACCCGTTGTGAGACTTGAATCACGCTGAGGCTTCGGCGATCTCGTGACTAGGAAGATCGGCCAGAGTTCCCCACGCTTGTAGCAAGTTTCGAGGGGGGGCGATTGCGCTCCGCAGCACTTGCCCGCAGAAGAATATCTCGCTCATGATGACACAGGCTCTATCAAGAAGTCTGCCTTGAACGCATGTGCCTTCTCTAGAAGCGAAAGTCTCGCAGGAAGATTAGCTTGATTCGTGCAAGCAATGTTGTGGCGGCATCACAAATCGGAAGGGTTTACCGAGCTATATGCTGCCACTCCCGCCTGCTCCGCTTGTTCAAGTCAGATCGAAGGTTCAACAAAAAGCTCGAGCCACAATCTACAGTCAAGCGGGCGTGTGAAGAACGCATTTCAGGCCTGACAGGATCAAGCAAGATTATCAGGGAGGACTGGCGATGTGATCACAACTTCGAAAGGCGTGACCACGTGACCCTCACCGTAAAGAACATACAGCTGGGCAGGAGTCCCGACGTTTCAATCGGAAGTGATTGGAGATATATGTGTGTCTATATATTATACAGATATATATATATATATTATGTATATGTAATGTGCTGTCACCGCAGCTCTGCTACCTTGACCTGGTCCAAGGATTGACTTGAAAACCTCGCAACGCACTTTCTTACCCTGCACTTATGCACAATCTTCAACCATCGTCCACGCAGCCAGTTTGAAAGCCCAGAACCCCCACGGACTTGCGTCCGGTCCAACCTCCGAGTTTCGATTGGCACAAGCTTGTGCGTTGCTAGTGACTGCTAGGGCTGCCGGTGTTACCAGCGGCAGCGTCGAGGTGTGTGTCACAGTTTCAATATTTGGCCGTTTCGGGGAAACCGCTTTCGGGTGACCTCGCAGCAAATCGTGTTGGGGGGTTTGTGCAGCTCGAGCCTCTCGATGCTAAGTGACCTCTTAAGCACGCGCAGGGGCCTATGTCCCCACAACAAACCGGGACGAACGGGACCGACCCCACCAAAAAAACACGACCAAGGCCAATTCGTTATCAACGCATTGTGAATCGGAAAGCCGCAAACACAACCTGCAACACAACAACGCCTTCCCCTGCGGGTCATCATCACAGAAAAGCTCCTGACCCTTGCTGCCAGCGTCAACCTCGCTCTTTACGTCAGGCCACTGCTGGACCCAATAGCCATTGCCGTCGGAACTTTAGCAGCGTTCTGTCCTTTGCTTCAGTTTCGCTTCAAAATTTGTGGCTTTTGGGCCTGAGCGGGTCAGCTGAGCCTCCAGAGACCCCACAGATCCAGAGACCCCACAGACTTTCGCGATTGCAGGCCCCGTGACGTTTTCGGCCCCCAAAGTCAAGAAACTGTGGCTCATTAGGGCTCATCAACCCAGAGCCGACTCCCGAAGTGGCCCGGCGGGACAGGAAACCAAGATGCCCGGCGCTGCCCGGTGTTGGGATGCGGCCGACATGCGCGACAGAGGCATCACTGAACCTCCCTCAGAGTTTTTCGGGCCGATCGCGCAATGGGATTGTAGGTTGTCTCCCGCACATTTGGCCTTCTGACTCCCCCCCAGCATTTCGGCAAAACGCTCGCTGGATTCCGGCGCGGTCATTCCGGTCCTGTAAACTTAGCCGGAAGCGGAAGCTGGGAGAGTGGGGTTTGGACGTGGGAGCCACACAGGATTGCTCGGGATTTGTAGTATGCAATGTAGGGAAACATCCGGAAACAACACCAAGGCCAAGAGAAATGTGAAAACGCAGCGCTGCCAAAGAGAACAACAATGTAGCAATTAATGTGTGAAGCTCAACAGGGCTGACAGGGAAAACGGGGATGCTGGAAGAAACGCTTTAACAGCTTAGGTAAAAACTCGAGGACAGACCGATGCTTTCAGGGCGCGGCTCTTGAACACATGAGCTGCCCAAAGGTGGGCTGAAGGCATTTACGCAAAGAGGATCGAGTGACTGACTGATACTCGCGCTACGCCCAGAGTACATGCGCTAACCACCTCGAGTCTAGTCTAGTCCTCTCTCTCGAGAAAAGCTCCCTGAACGCCTGCATGTCCCCTCGGAAGCACTATCCCGAATTGGGCCCGTTGTCATTGTAAGATGGCTCGAATAAAACGCAGTGCCAAGGTGATTGCGTATCGGTGTGGCATCGTGTAGCGCTGCGCAGTTTGCAGCACCAGCAGAAGTGAAGTGAGACCCGTTTAATCCGAAAGAGCTTGATCTGTGTTTTCTTTCGCCCGTCGTCTGTATATTTCCTTCTCCTGTATCTCGGTGGCTTGTGTGAGAAAACAAGCAGACCTGTCAAATACACAAACACACACACACACACACACACACACACACACACACCCGCGCACACACACACACACATCTCAACACATCAACACACACACACATCAACACACACACACACATGCGCACGCACATGCATGCACATAAACCCAACATGCACGCACCAACACGCCCACCTCAACACACGCGCACACACACACACACTCACCCACCGTCATCATGATCATCAGCATCATCACCATCACCATCACGCAAGCATCAACTCACACATGCACACAGACACCCACCCACCCACACACCCACGCAAGCACACAGACATACATCAGCACACGCAGCAACACTGCAACTAACACACACACACACACACTCACACATCAAACAGCACATCAACACATGCTTGAAAACGTGCATCAGCACACACACACACACACAGAGCACACCACACCGCGCCATCTTTCCGAGATCACATCCTCCTCGATCGAGAGCAGCCCAAAGGATAGTTTTTTACTTGTTATGTGGGGTTTTCCAGCCCTTTGTTCGAGAGATATCCTGGACCCTTTAGGTAAACAAACGTTCGAGGATCGAGTCATACTGGCAACCAACCGCCAAACTGTACAGTGCTGTTTCATGTATTCATACGGCAGAAGATTAATGCGCATATTCAAATGCCTGATTTGGGCTACCCAGTGGGCTGTTTGTCTGTTGCAGGACATGTGCTTTTGTTCCGAACCGCTCCGGCCTTGCGAACCCATTCCGAACCGTTCCGAATCGTTCCAACCTTGGAATCGCGAATCCTGGAAACCGCTTTGAACCGCTAGTTACCACGGTCACCACCACGTTCCCCCCCCAGGCCACAGGGTCGGACTGCGTACACGTCAACCCAACTTGCATCCAAGTGCATTGGCAACATCAAAAAAGACGAAAAAAGCAACAAGTCTGGGTTCTTGGGCCGAGAGTGGAGCATGAGAGTTATTAGAGATCTGGACAGACCTGGGAAACAAAACACCTTTTCATGATGGACACGTTGAAACGACGTCCTGCACGTTTCAGCAGGACTAAGCTTGAAAGGCTCTAGGGTAGCTATCCATAAAAATCTAGCACATGCCGATAGGTCAGCGGAGACCTGCAGCAGAAAATCAGCGGTTCCTGTACAATTCTTCAGGCATATCCGTGCGGGACGGCTCGCAGCATGTCAGTTTGGGGCCTGCGCGAGTGATTCATGATGGCACAGGGCGCACTTTTTGTGGACAAGTGATTGCCAGTGCTTCGTCTCACGGTGCCTTGCTGAGCCTGCGAGATCGTCGCTGCTTGCTGTCCGCGGCAAGGAAGCTGTACATCTGAAAAGAAGAGACACGATTTTGTGTGTGTGTATATATATATTAAAACATATACATATATATATATATATAAACATTAGACAGCGGGATAGACGCACAAAGATGGGGGGTGGACCTCGTTCAGCATTCCCTGCAACAGCTGCTCTCGAAATGCTCTCAAAGCGCTCTCTCTTCCCCACAGCTGCGTCGCAATGCTTCGCGTAAAGCTACGCGCAAAGCTTCGCGCCTGCAGGTCCTTCTGCCTCTTCTTGGACTGGCTTAGCTCTGCCTCGAGGGTGTCCACGTGCCTTTCAGTCTCCGCCTGCAGATTTGCCTGCGAAAATCGAAATGAGTAGCAACAAACATCACTTAGAAAGAGACCGTATGTGTGCAGGTGTCCATCTTCAACTGATAGTTCAAGCTATGCCACTCTCTGCCTGCGCCTCACGAAAGCGCTGGAGGTCAATCTCGAGATACGCCTCGGAGCTGTGCGTTTACTGCATTCGCGGAATCCGCAGAACACTTCGCACAATTTTTGCGTGGCGGGGACTGCGCGAGCCAAGGCTTCGGCCTTCTCGTCCTAAAGAGCGGCACACACACAATCAATCACACACACACACACACATAGCTCAGATGGTGGAAAGCAACTGTCACGCGAGAGTTCAGCATCTTCTCCTCCGCCAGCTGCCTGTCTTTCTGGACCTTCTCCACGCCCGCCTCACTGTGCACTCCACTTAGTTTCGTCCAATTTACCGAGCAGCGAATCCCCTGAAGCAACGACCTCGAGATCGGCAGCGCGGCCCTCCAAACTCACAATCTCGTTCCGGCAGTCTTGGTCCTGAGGCCAAAAACCTAACAAGCTGCCAAGTTTGACCTTCAACAATTCCTTCCAGAAAGTCTATGTTGCGCGCCCTCCCCACAAATAGGGCGCCCAGCCCAAAATTCTGCCTCACGACTGGGACCCCTTAAACACGGTACCTCCGTAGACCACAAGTGCTCTTCAAAATTCAGGCTCTCCTCTCTCTCCTGCTCGGCAGCTCTTCTCGCAGGATGCTTCTTCTATGGCAGGCGCGCTCCTTGTGACCGAGGTCCAGCAGGGACTTCTCCTCAACTTGGAGCCTTAAGTGAAAGAGTGAAAGAGCAGCCTCTGGCCTGGACTCGTCGAGCTTCAAAAAAGCAGAGGCCGGAGTGGAAGAACTGGGGCAGGGGCTCTGTCCTCAGAAGGCGCTCTCTCGCTTCACTTCAAACTACGGTAGCGTGGTCTCAAGTCTCAAAAATCTCAAGATATCTCAAGTGTCCACGAGCTTCGCACCTCAAGGCCTCGATGGCGGCGCGCAGCTCCGCCTGAAGCAAGGCACACTGCGCGGTAGCTGCAGCTCAGCTGCAGGAGTCCAGGAGTTCACTGCAAGTACTATCTCAATATACAAATACAATGGGGAAGCTGCGAACACAAGCGAGAGCATCCCACGAGAGCTGGCTTTGGAGACGGCAAGTCTGACAGGTCACTTCTTCGCCTCGCCCTATACAGATGCCCATCGCACGGGTTAGCGAAATCGCAGCTTAACAGGCGCTAGCCCATCGCCTCAGTTACAACTTCTAAACTGACTTATATGATATAATGGTACAAACCATGCGAAACCATGCAGGCATTGCGAACCGCCTCCTGCTCTTGCCAGGAATTTCGCTCCTGAGCGGCGGCGGCGGTGTCGGCCGCCCGTTCCGCCTCTGGGGCTCCGGGGGTTGGGGGGAGGCCCGGGGATCCCCAAAAACTTTGAGCCTTGGAATGGGAATCACCATCTCAAGCTAAATTGAGCGCGGGTTAGAATATGAGTTTCTCAAGGGGTAGGGAGATGGAGAGGGGGGGAGATGGGGGAAGGCTGGAAAGGGGGAAGATTTCGACGGCGATGGCCAAAGGCACGCAGAGCAAGAGGCCTGGCCTCGAGGCGTTGCTTCTCCTCTGGGACTTGCAGTGGGTTTGCAGCTGGGAAGACGTACATACGAGCTTGTGCCGAGTGGAGCATGGAACTGCCGCGCATATCCTCAAACCCTTAGTTCAGGGGTTTAGGGTAGCTGCTTGGAGGCGCTGGCAACTAAACCATTCAAGAAAACATTCAACAGGCTCCTCTGGGCCACATACAAATCACCTGACTTGAGTGAGCCTACAGTATGTGCTAAGTGGTCACACCCACTCACTACGAATAACCATTCGCTGTTGTCGCATAGAAGCCATGGAAACTTGCACGGAACGAGGCATGAGGCTCAGAAGGTTCGTAGAGCTTTGCAAAGCTTGCAAGTAGCTTTGCAAAATTTTGCAAAGCTGTGTTATGGAAGGGTTTTGGCATGTCGGCATTTTCCCTGCTCGCTGTCTCCTCCTTGCGGACATCGGCCTGACATCGAACGCAGCAGCATCATGGCTGTGCCGCAAACGGTCCAACTCGAGTAAACAGAAGGCTTGAAATTTGAAATCTAGTCTTACAGTCTGTGCAGTACGTCTATTTGTGTGTGTGTGTGTGCGTGTGCGTGTGTGCGTGTGTGTGCGTGTGCGCCTGTGTGCGTGTCTGTCTGTCTTCGTCCGTCTCTGTCTGTCTCTGTCTGTCTCTGTCTGTCTCTGCCTGTCTCTGCCTATCTCTGCCTATCTCTGTCTCTGTCTCTGGCTCTGGCTCTGTCTCTGGCTCTGTCTGTCTCTGTCTGTGTGAGCGTGTGTGTCTCTGTGTGCTTCTGTTGTCTGTGTTTCTTTGGTCCTTTGTTTTGTTTGGCACGTTTGCGACCGACACCCCGTGGCATATCGTGGCCTCCACGCGGAAGCGGTCCATCTCCCGCTCCAGCTGAGCCAGGCGCTGCCCTTGCTCCTCTGCCTTTGTTGAAAGCTTTAGGGAGCTTCGCGTCGTGTTTAGGCTTATACAATCCGGCTATAAGGTTTAAGGGATCATGCCTATGTAGCTTCGCCTCGTGAGGCCAAGCAAGACAACGAGGTAGCTGTATAACATGGCGCATCTACAGCCAATCCCTGGACCCTGGCCACACGTCCAACCCTAAAGCCCTGACCCCGAGCATTTGCCCCCAGCAAAATCCTTGTAAGCCCTTTCAACCCCGAAATACAACAAAACACAAAGCCAAGAAAACACATATCCCTCAACCTCAGCCGAAGAGGCTTCAAGGCCCCCTCCCTTTTCTGCGGCCTGCTGCTTCAGCTCTTGCTTCTCGACGTCGAGGTCCGACCGTTGCTTCACAATGTCGGTCTGCAGCTCCTCCCCGAAAGAGAGGAAACAGTTGAGGGCCACACAAATTGTGGGAGGGGGGGAGGCAAAACTGCAAGGAATCGGTCAGACCCTCTCCTGCAAGGTGTCGGCCTCAGATCTGCAAGATTCGAAGCGCTCCACTGATGCTGAACTCGGTTCCACTGTGGGAACTGTGCCGAATGTACGGGGATCCGTTTCGGCTTACGATGACCACAAATCCCACGATGTCATTGCCTGAATTCTGCCGGCCTTCTGTTGGGCCGCCGCAAGTCGGACTCGAAGGTCTGCAGCCTCCTGTCACAGCTTCCACGGATTCTGGGCTGCGACCGCTTTTTGTGAGATGCTGAAGTGCTGGGACACGTTGGGACTGCTGGGCGGTGGTCGCTCCCCCGACCGGGTCTTAAAGAGCACAGGTGCAACATACATCTTCGCTATAGAATCGAGAGCATAACAGACTCTGACGGACACATCGAACGGCGCTCCCGCTCTCTCTAAACCCAGGGCGCCTCTTGCGCCGCTTTGCAGACCATCTCCTCAAGTTGTGGGCTCAGAGGGAGCAAGGGACATGTTTCGTCGCAAGCCCTGTCCAAGTTAGGCCCCGGCCGTCGACCTGATCTCGGCCTGACAGCAGAAACTACTAGCGCCCAGGTGCAACACTCAGCATGCTTCTCTCGCTCTGTCATGGCTATCAGGCTATCAACCAACGAACCAAGCGCCCAACCCTATCCAAAACCCACGACAAAATATCTGTTGTGCACACGAACAACATGCAATCGTCACATCAATGTGCGCCCTCACTCATAGCTGTTGCCCACTCCAGCATCTACTGCGTGCCTCCAGCACGCTGCAGCGGGCCTGTCAAAAGTCGAGGCGAGGCCATGAAGAAGCCAGTGCAGAGGTTCAATCTGCAGAAGTCCGTCTGAAGTCCCTGCACCTCCCTGTTCTCGGAGTGCTGCTGCTCGAGAAGCATGACGCCTTCTTTAGCTTTCGCCTCGATGACCTGCTTCAGACCTCCCATTTGAGAGTGGTGCAGTGCAGTGGTGTTAAGGATAAACTATAGGCAAAACATGTACCGACTAGGTGGGCCTGCAATCTGCTGTTGCGACTCTTCCTGACCCGGGCGCTCTCAAAGCCTGCCCTCACATGACACATGGAATATTAGTTGCAACCAGTCCTGAATGTCTGCAAACTGCTTGGCCATGTTCTCGGTGACGTGCGTTCGAAACTCTTCCATCTTCCTTGGGGTTGAAGCACTCTTCACTCGCTGCATCGCTGGAGCGACTCTTCACAGGACCTTGTCTGCTCTTGCTGCATCTTGTCAAGGATGTCCGAAGCGCTTTCCCTGGCGGTGCTTACAGAAACCATCGCTTCCCATTCAGTGGACAGGAACGGAACCACTGCAGTCACGTCCGTCATCCCAGAGATCAGGCAACTGCGGTTTTCTCTGCTGATGTTCACCCGCGACAGATTCATCAACCAATGGTGATTCGACCCAGGAGAGTTTAAGCCCCTCGCAAGGGGAGTTTGTCCCAAATTGCGGGAGGTTGTGTCACCTACTAATACGAAGCAAACTCATCGTGAAAAACGAGGACCTGCACTCCAATTTATACACTTTTTGCGAGAGTTGCATTCCAAGGCGCTTTGTCAGGAGGCGCTGATTCAGTTCCTCGAGCTCCTTGTCCAGAGCCGCACGCTCCTGCTTGGAAATGTCGATGCAAAACCCATCCAAACTGTTCCAGGATAAGCTGGCCGCGTTTGGCCCTTTGGGAAGCCCCTGCGCGAGCCTCCAAGTCCTGCTCGGCTTCATCTGTCATTTGCTGCTGGATACGTTCCAGACAGGCCTGGTGCCTGGCCACAGCCACGCACATGCACGGAACTGGTCACTTCTTTCGGTTGCCCCGAAGTCTTTCATTCTTCAAGCCACAACATGTGTTTGTGAGTAATTTCAAAAACACGTCTCCGTGTGTGTGTGTGTGTGTGTGTGTGCGTGCCGACATATACGTCAGTGTATATTACATATATATATATATATACATATATATATACATGTAATATACAATACATAGTATATAATATATCATATAGGTTTCATTCAGAAGATGCCTGGGCGGGCATCCAACTTGCTTGGGCAGAAGTACAAACTCCGAAGAGGTTGGTCGGGTCGGGATGGGTTGGGCCGGGCACCTTTTCATCACGACAAGTGCAGAAATTGGCAGCGCAAGGCTCAGGCATAAACAAATCATATGCTAAATATGCTATGTACACGGCGAAGAGGCCAGGGAAATCAACAGCTTTCTCGGGGCTCTTCACCGCAAGACTGCAGCTTCGGCTGAAAACGACGTCCAGAGCTGGCTCAGTCCTGCACACGGCTCACATCAACAAAGAGCGCTCACATGATTCACATGATCACAGCCAGCACCCCACACTCTCACGTGTAACTTTCAAGACTTAGGTCTCAGACTTCAGACTGCTGCGGTCCTGCCCATGCAAAGTAATTATATGCTGTGGCCATATAACCTGGAGACAGGACACCAGAGTCGAGCTCAGGGCTCAAAGAGCCACCACTGCGCCAAACGGTGAGCTGCGCACAGGAACGCGCCAGGAGATAGGTCACAACATTCCATACTTCACCTGGGCTGCTCCGGCTCCTTTTTCGCCCTGGTTGCACATTACCACCAGGAATACTCTGCCTAAGAATGCGGCTGCACATCAGTCCATGCATCCGCCGGCCACCAGGCGGGCATACTCAACCTGCAAGCGATTGCGCACGTCAGCGCACCCAAACGGGGCATAAGCTCCTCATTGTGATGTTATAGCTGGAGGGAATAGGACCGTGTTTGGAGCACAGTCCAAAGAAGGTACCACGCGTGCTGATTTGTATTCAAGTATTCCTCGCCTTCCTCTCGAAGGCTTTGCGCGCCTCAATGGTGACGTGAGCACACACAGGTCGCATGAGCAACTGAACGTGTAGAACACAGCGGATGGCAGGCAATAACATACAAACCATGCCGCTGGTGGTTCGTCATTCGTGGTGCTGACAGCTGACGAACGGCGTACTCCCGCTTCTCTCTCAGGTTAGAAGCTGCAGGACACAGAAAACAGGCCAGACATGATAAGACGTGAGACCCCGTATAAACCCGCAGGCCTTCTCCAGGTGATGCAAAGCCTGCATCCGGGACTTCTCCAGAATCGATTCTGCCTTCTTCTTTGCCTCCAACAGAGGGCTTTGGCGGGGGCGGAGTCTGAGATACTGAGATACTCTCGGGGGGATGTAGCAAGGCGAGCTCTCGTAATCTGCTGAAAAGCTGATGACTGCTGGTGACTGCAGTGTGCCCAGCTTTCTTGGGGCATCGTGCGAAGTGGGGCCACAAAGGTAGGAGCCAGGAAAGGTCTCGCAACGGTCGCCCTGGCCTTGCGCAGCCCTTTCTGCAAGCGCTTGTCCGTCACAACAAGCGGGAGCCTGCACACAATTTCGAGTGATCGTTATTCGAAGTTGAGTCGTGCAGGTTGGGCACCTGGACAAGGCTTGAGAGTGTTGCTAGAGTCACTAGAGTAGCGTTGCAGGCCCCACTGCCACCGACAATGCCAAGAACAAGGATGCTCAATTGGGAGCAAGCGCAGAAAACACACGCTCCCCGTGAAGAACTTCCTGACACAACCAAAGAACCCAGGCTATGGGCCCATGGCCTCAAGAGGACTATGAACGAAATACAGGCATAGGAGGTTGAGCTCCGTAGGTGCCAGGAAGCCTCTCTTTCTCTGCCTTCCTCTTCGTAGCCTCAGGAGTGCACAGTGGATACAGCCCACGAGCCGCGCAGATCGTTGTAAGATGCTGCAAGAGGCTGGAAGCTTGGCCGCCAGCGTTCTCAGGAAAAAACTCGAGCAGTGGAAGTGTATGGTCCGCCTGCAGAACTGGGAGAGTCCGTCTTTAGGCTTTGCGATTGTCGCAGGCCACAAGTTTGTAAAGGACTTGTTTATGAAGTCAAACTACATTGGGAGCATCTTCGATTCTGACAGCCGAGTGTATGAAGCACGTGCATGTTCCATCAAAAGCTCTTTGAGAGCAGGAAGAGCGAAATGGTGGTTTCCTGCAGACCCTTGATGCCAGGCGCTCTTGAAGACCGCTGAGCCGCCAGACTCTGCACTCCACACGTTCCAAGAATCGCCCAAACACCAGGCCAAGGCTGTGCGGAAACCAACCCGACCAATCTCCAAAGCCACACTGTCGGACGAAGGTTATCGCAAAGCCTGGCGAGGTCCTTGAATCTTGTTGCTTTTAAACATGACATCACAGGGCAGTCTGCGCAAGCCACTACTTCAAGCAAAAGCCTTATAAACCTTCAGCTGAGCTCATCAAGCTGAGGTCTCAGTGAACCTTAACCTTTTGCAAAGCTCAGATTCCCTTTGCTGTTTCGTCTTCGGCGAGGCTAGCTAATTTTCATCGTAAATTGTTGTACATTCATTCTTCCCGGGTAGGGAGCAGGAGCCTCGGGCCTTCAAGGCTTTCATTTTGCCCCAAGCAGCGCAAGCTTGGGGATCGAGGGGTGGACGACACGAATCCTCCACAGAAGAAAACCCCTCTATGTTGAACAGAGCGCACATAGAGAACCCCAGAACCGAGGGCCCCACACAAGGAAGATGATACGGACGCAAGGCTGCCGACGTCTCTGGCATCTCTGGCTTCCACTGGTTGAAGAACCTTCAACGGAAATCAAATCTCGTGAGCTCTGAGCTGAATGGTCAAGCAGTGCTCAAGCAATGCTCAAGCAATGAAAGCTGTGAAAACCGGAGAGTTAGGGGGTACACATTGTATTAGCTGGGGAGCTGGGGGCTGCACATGCGCGTGGTCAAGGATGTGCTTGGACGGACGATGAGCAGCTTGGGAGCGATGCGAAGGTCCGGAAGGTCAGGCAGCTGCAACGTCTTCAGCGTCTTCAGGGTGCTCAGCGTGCTCAGGGTGCTCAAGGTGGAGGTCTTCGAGGTCTTCGGCTTTGGCGTCCAGGTCAGCAAGGGGACTTGAGCCCTGGGAATCTCCACGCAGGGCCTCAGCAAGGAAGACACATGTCACACTGGCGCAAACACGCGCCTCTCTAGCTTGCGATGTGTGTTGCGTGTTGTGTGTTTTGCGTCGTGTGTTGTGCGTTGTGTTTTGTGTGATGCGTGCGCGGGTGCGGGTGCG